GTGGGAATTAATCTATTTTATATAAAAAATTTATTTTGTTTATTTATTTATTTATTTTTATCAAGTACATCTGTTTGTTTTAATATTTGTTCTAATTGTTTTTAATATAGAAATAATTTATTTATTTATTTTATATAAAAATAATTTAACAATCTCATCACTAATCATCTTCCATACTATCATCCAAAATAAATACACTTTTAATTAATCCCCTTACTAACAATCTCCACATTAACAATCTCTTCACTAACAATCCTATCCAACCTAAACGACCAAACAAACGTGGCTTTTGTGTAAAAAAATCAATATAATTGGATATCAATAAATAGATAAATAAATCACATTTCATCTTATAAATTTAACAGTTTAAGTTTAAACTCATTGTTATCCTCCATTTAAAAACATAAAATGTAATTTATTTATGTGTTTACTAATGTCTAATAAAAACTAATTTTTTACATAATTCATCTCTATTGTTGAACCTATAAAATCAACTGTTCTAATAATTGTTCTGGGTCTAAGATTGTGCCCACGAAATAACTCATGGAATACGGGGACGAGCCAAGGGAGATTCTATTTGTACCTAAAATATATCTTAGAAATTTATAAATTTTAATTTCTAATATATTTTAATATATATTTATTAATAAGAATAATGCTTGGGACCCCCTTTTGGGGGTCACCCCCTCACCCCCTTTACCATGTGGCGGGTGGTGATTGGAAGAGCAGGAAAAAAAAGAAAAAGAAAAAGAAAAGGTAACCAATGAGAGAGAGAGGGGGTCAAAGGGGGTGGGGAAAAAAGGGGGATGAATCATTGTTGTATTAATAAAGACAACACATATTAAATTTTAAAATAAATATATATTTTTTTCATGGTACACCCTAATCAGTTATTCATTTTCTTATTCAAATCTCTATATCTTATTTCCTAAGAGATCCAAGTTATTTCTTCATCATCATCATCATCATCATCATCCCTCCAAAACTCCAATCTACCCTACCAAAACTCACCATCATCATCAACATCATTATTTTTTATTATTTTAAAACCTTAAACCTTAGAAGAAAGTTTGAATAAAATCAAATAATGGATGAGAATAATAATTAAAATAGTTTTTTGAAACAACACATCAAAAAGAAAGTAAGTATTCATATAAAGGGGTTTCACAATTTTTGTAAAGCACCATCAATTATTTTATATATTGTTTTTATGACAAAAATTAAAGGACCCAGTAATTAAATTAACATATTGGAATTGTTCTTATTTTGTCATTTAAATGGTGCATTATTTGAGAACTACTCTTTCTTGTTAGTGTCAGATGCTTATGTGCTTATAAGTTTGGTTTTTACTTTTTCAAGAGTATTCTTGTGAATAATTTATAATGTAAAAGTTTTTTTTTTCTGTATTAAAAAGTTTTATAATGCTTATGTAAAAGTTTAATTTTTTCTGTATTTATAATACTTATATGCTTATAAGTTTGTTTGTTTGTTTTGTTTTTTTTTTTGTATTGAAATTTTTTGAAATAATTTAATTTTTTTAGTTTGTTTATTATTTATTATTTGGGTTTACTTTGAGGATAATTTGAAAAAAATAATAAGATGTAATGACAGTAAAATAAAATTTTAAATAATTAAACAAATTATTTCCTTATGAATATGGGGTGACTATTGTGCGGTATGCACAATAATCACTGTTGTGTAGCTAAAAATATTTGGTATTATTTTTATTTTTTACAATGACGAATAAGTCATACTTTATTCTTTTTAAGCAAAGGGAAAAGTACAACTTTTGAAAGTTACTTCCCATTTAATTTAATTTAATTTATCCTTTTTGTATATATTATATTTAATTTTGCAATTAATGATATTTTTGGGGGGTTTAAATGACATGCAATTGTTTTACACTATATTAAAAAAATACAATTTAATTTATTAGGACATTTTTTTTTCAAAAAAATTCTCTTATTATTGTTAAGAAAAACCAATAAGACTTTTTTCATGATATATAAATGAGGTCTTGCTAACAAATGCCTATGAGACACCCCCCCAAAAAAAAAAGAAAAAAAGAGAGAGAAAAAAGAGAAAAATAGTAAGGAACACGACACTTTTCATTAATTTTAAAATTTTTTTTATTAATTTAATTTTTTTAACCATTTTATTAATTTTCGTAAAAAAGATAGATAATTTGACAGACTAAGTTATTGAGAAGAATTGTAAATAACTTGGATGAAGCGTGGGCTTAGTCAACAGGATTATACGAGGAGAATTATTTCTTCCCCGTACATATATATACACTCGTTTCCTAAAGAATTCCTAATTGTATGATTCATATTAGTTCTTCCTTATCTTTTTTATGAATCCATCCAAATTCCAAATCCATGTGATATAGTTATTCTCCACAGACATTAAATACAAATTATTCCTCACATAAATCCAAATGATGCAATTTTAAACAGCATTTTTTGTTAAGACAAGATACCATGTAATGATGTAATGACGTTGCGTTTGGAATATCAAGTGACAATATATCCATACAATAGAATTATGTCGCATGTCCACTTTATTGGCAGTAACCGATCAAGTAGATCTATATCCGTTATTTAACATAGTCCTTTCATTGGTCTAACAAATTATCATGTAATATTCTACATCAATGAAATAACTGATTATGTCGTGCTCACATAGTTGGCTAAACCAATTTAACTATCATGTGATATTTTTGATCAATGTAGTAACTACTTCTAATTGAAACCGATTAATTGTCATATAATATTTCAGATCAATGAAGTAATTACTCTTGACTTTAACTAATTATGTCGTGTGCGCCAAGTTGGCAAAAACTGATTAACTGTAATGTGATATTTCGGATCAATAAAGTAATTGCTTTGGACTTTTCAGTTTAATTGGATATGTAACATAATTTTTTTGTGAGAAATATAGTGGTTTCACACCAAAAATTGGACTAAATGTTGAGTTAAATGGAGAGAAGTATTCTAAGCTAGATCTAAATAATATATATATATATATATGCAATTAAGTATCTACTTAGGGTAATTTTATTTTCACATCACAATTCCCTCAATACATATCATTTACTCAGTATACACATTATTGCTAAAAAAGTAAAAAATCAATTTTTTACCGATTTCTCAAAACACTACTCAGTTTATTTAAAACTTATCCCTTCAAATGGCCATGTTTGTGATTAGATCATCTATAAAAAAATGACATTCAAAACAAATAAAAATAAAAGAATGATAAAAATGTACATTGAACAAAGAGTAGGGGAATGTTTTAAAAATAAATAAATAAAGATTGGGAAGAAAAAATAAAATAAAATAAAATATTGCTTTGCTTGCATGAAAAACAAAGCATCTAAAGAGAGAGGGGTTTGTAGTTTATGTGCCAGAGATGGTCCCCACGTGGCAATACCACGTGCATAGATGTATCAAAGTTCGTAGAGATCATCAAAAAAAAAAAAAAAAAAAATTTAATACCCAAACACAATATTTCACTTTTTATAATAATATGGAATAATGATAAACATTTTCACCTTTCAAATAAAAAAATTAAACATGGAGAGAAAATATAAATAGTATGGTTGAGAAAATAGTTCTCCATCCAAATTAAAGAACTCGCTTTGTAATTAAATATGTAGAAGAAGAATAGAAAGTTTTTTTGGAATTGTAAATATGTAAAGCATTTCTATATGGAATGTAGAGAAAAGTTTAATGATTGTAGTTAAAAGTTAAATGAGATTTTGATAGAAATTATACAACCCAAAAAAAAAAAAAAAAACTAAAAATTAGCTTGGTCATGAAATTTATACTGCAATTTAAATGATAGTAATCTTGAGGGGAATGAAAACTATTTCAAGTGTGAAATCTATAGTGTAATTTGAAGGATAGTTATACTAAGAGGAAATGAAAATTATTCGGATTGTGAAATCTATATTATAATTTGAAATCCCTGAGAAAATGAAAACTATCCCCCAACGTGAAATCTATAATGTAATGAGAATGATAATCAGAATGAATTTTCTTTGCAAAGAGCAATTCTACAGTCTCAGTGAAAATATTTTAGATAAATGTCCAAAAAACACATCCAATGGAAAGATTAATTTTTAGAAAAATTAAAAATCAGTGATATTTCTATAAAATATTTATAAATTCATAAAAAAATCATAACTTTAATTATTAAAATTGATAAAGTTTTCCACTGATTTATAATTTTTTTAGAAACTTACACCGAAATACAATTTTCCCTATATTGAACATTGCTATTCAGGCCCAAAAGTTACACCCACTTTTTAGACCCAGTAATGTATGAAGAAGATGATTGGTTAATAATTAAATATTATCTAATTATCAATAAATCATTTTCTTAATACATCACTTAATCTAAAAAGTAAAATTATTATTTTTCTCCTCAATTTTATGTGTGGACCCCACTATATAAAAAATAAATCTCAATTATACATTTTTTTGTGGGCCTACAAACTTTCTGGTTCATAAGGTCTCGTTTGGCAAGTGCTTGTTTCAGTTTAAAAGTCAAAAAATTATTAAAAAAATCAAAAAACTTATAGTCTATACAAAAAAGTCAAAGATTCATTTTTTTCTCTACTTTTTACACATATTTTCGTAAAAAATTAAAAAATCATTCCAAATATACTAATTTTTTTTATCTCATATTTTAACTAAAAAGTTAAAAAATTACTAAAATAGTCAGTTCCAAAACGAGGCCTAAATTTCAATTTTAAGACTGTATTTGAATTATGAATTTAAGTAGAAATTTAAAAAGAAAAAAAAAACATGGGTAAAACGTAAGTAAAAATAGTTATATTTTATTCATAATTTAATTATCTTTTTTTTTTATAAATTATTTTTTAAATTTATGATCCAAGTGTAATTTAAATAAATTTTCAGATAAATTTTTGCTTATTAATATGTCTAATATAAGTAGAGAGAAATCAGTTAGCCCTTGGCGAAGGATCCAATGCATATAAACACACACTCTCTCGCATCATTCTCTGTCTCCCTCTCTCTCTTTATGAGCTGAGTTAAAACCGTTCCCGTCTCTCTCTCCCTCTCTCTTCTAAAGTGTGTAAAGAAGCCAGAAATCCAAACACAAACGAAACGCATCGAAAAAGATGTTGATTTGATTGTTATAATCCTCTCTCTCTCTTCCCTGAATCTCTTCTCACTCTTCTCTCTCTCTCCCTGTGTCTCTGTTTCTCTGTTTTAGCTTCATGTTCACAGACTTCAACCACATTTCCTATGTGGGAATGACATCGACATCGAATTCAAATCCAGACACACTCAACCTCAAAAATGATCAAAAACAGACCGAATCCAAAGTTTCATCACCACCCACTTCAGAATTCCCAGATGGCTCTCAATCTACAGACTCAAATCTTGACAACCCAGATCATGAAAATGGCAAAGAAGAAGAGAAATCTGAGGTAACTGCTTCTTTTGATCAGAAACTCAAATCCGAGGCTGCTGTTGTTGATGATGGTGATGATGGGTTTAAGACTCCGACATCGTCGGATCATAAAATTCCTGTGAATACTGAGTGCCCACCAGCTCCCAAGAGACGCAGACAATCACAGTCATCAGCACAGTCGATGAAGAGAAAAGCAACCACAGCTGAACTTGATCTGAGGGAGGAGATTGAATCGCTGCTGTTTGCTCCAACAATTCGAGATGATTTGGACCGCAAGATCAAGATAGCTCGAAGAGACGACAGCACAGAATAAATCAATAAATAAATTATTATTATTTTTTGTTATCGTGCATATGTGAGAAAATTTAGTGGTTTTTTTTTTTTTTTTTTGGTTTTGGGGTGTGAAAATCAAAGTGTTCTAGACTTGGTCAGGACTATCAGATGTATATAAAATCAAAGTGTTCTAGGCTTAGAATTATGTTTTTATTCTCAATTTTCTTTTATCTATTTTTATTTTTATTTTTATTTTAAAGGCTAAATAGATTGTTGGAATGTATTTTGTGTTATTTTGAATGTTGATATTTTAATAATGTCTATTTACTTTCTAATGTGTCCGATTTATGTTTCAACAGCTCTGCCTCCAAAAAATAATAATTTATAGAACCATTCTACAGGACAATAAAAAATTAAAAAATGTTACAAATTCTAAATAAATTATCAGGAGAATTTTTTTATACACACCTCCTATCATATACATCTTTAATTACGTTATTTTTTTTAGTTATGATCAATTTTCCTTTTTAGTTGTGACATTACTTTGAGATCTTTGATTATACTTCATTTGTGTTTAGTTATATATATATATATATTTTAGTTTTGACTAAAAAAATATAGAATTATACTATTTTCTTTTGTAATTATAAGGTGTATATGGTACACACTTTTTGAGAGATTTTTTTTCCCCAAATTATCAAATACTTTACTTTAAATTCTTACATAACTGTAAGCCACCCATATAAGTATTGTATAAAATATTAGACAATTTATTTGTCTTCATTAAAATTGCCCGCAAAAAATTTATTGAGAAATTTGCCACCAAAGCACCACCTCACCTAAAATTGGAAAAATAATATAAAAAGAAGGCTTAATTATACACACCATAGATTTGAAATTATAAATAAGTTTTTGATTTTTTCCCCGAGTGAGTAGACTTTGTTTATGTTTAAATGGTCACAACTCTATTTCCATCCCAAAAAAAATAAAAAATAAAAAAATAAATTATATCATGCACATGTGAGAAAATTTAGTGGGTTTTTTTTTTGGTGTGTGTGTGTGTGTGTGTGTGTGTGTGTGTGTGGGGTGAATTGAAGTGTCTAGACTTGGTCAGGACCATCAGATGTATATAAAATTTAGGGTACATTTTATTTTGTTATTTTGAATTATGTAATTATTCTGAAGTTGGAATGGTATATATTCTCAATTTTCTTTCATCCATTTTTTATTTTTAAGGTTAGATAGATTGTTGGTGTGTTTTCTGTGTTATTTTGAATGTTGATATTTTAATAGTTTTTAATGTAACCAATTTTAGTTATGTCTAAATAAGTTAATAAGACAAAATATCATATTCAATTCATAATCATTACATTTTTTTCTCTCACAAAAATAAAAAAAGTCAAAAATCCAAACCAAACGAGACTAAAAAAGCTAAGCTAAAAAAATCCCAACGCAAAAAAAATTGACTATATTAGCCAATGCCAAACGAAGTTTTAATGTATCCAATTCATGTTTTAACAGCTCTACATAGTTGCAAAATAATAATAATAAAATAAAATAAATCAAAATTTATAGAACCATTTTATACACAATATAATAAAATTTCAAAAATGCTAATATTTTAAAATATTCTATAGAATACTCACAGGTCCCATCTCATATTGTGTAGTCACACCTATATCAGTATTATGTAGAATATTTTATAATTGCTCATAAAAATTTCATCAAGAAATTTGTTACCAAAACACAAATTTAGTGGGCTCACCTCACTTAAAAAAAGATGCTTGGCCACAAGTTTGGTGATAACTATTCGGTGTCATCCGATTTTTCCAAATTTATAATCTACAGTTAGAATTTACTTACGATGTAACTCCACATACATAAAAAATAAAAAATAAAAACATAAATATACACCATGGATTTGAAATTATGAATAATTTTTTCCATTCAAATTTTATCCAATACTTTTGCTTCTGTTATAAAATTCGGATTGGAAAAACATAGGAAACTATTCTAATACCAATTAAATAAATTTAAACTAAATTGATATAATTAAAATATCAAAAATAAAAATGAAACAGATTTTATGAAATTCACAGTCCATTCAACATTTTTTTTTTCTTTTCTTTTTTGATTGGATTATGTGTATATATATATATATATATATAACTTGTTCTGGTGAGATCTTGATTTGGTGGGGGATTGGTCTAAGAAACTGATCTGATTTTGAAAAGTTAAAGTTAGGAAAGATTTAAGAGTGATAAAAGTAAAGACCAAGGAAAAGAGGCAAAGACATCTAGACTTCCAACTTTATTGCAACCAACTTCTTTTGTGATCAAGGTGTTATTCAGTTACAAATAGAGATACATATACATATATATTCTCAAATATTCAATGAAAATGTGATTTTTCTTCTTTTTTTTTTTTCCTTTTCTTTTTATCTTCGTGGGTGTTGTTTTTTGACATCACAACCAAACAGATCTCCTTACCGAAATCTATGGAACTCGGCTGGACAGCACACAAAAGAATAAATTAGCACTTGCACACAAGAAAATAAGAAATATTGCAGTGATTCTTCCACCCGGGAATACTCCGATGATTAAATCAATTACTTATCTTACAAGATATCAACTCAAATCAAGAGCTTACAAAAGAAAATCACAAACTCAAATCAAGAGTTCACAATATAAATCGCATACTCAAATCAAGAGTTCACAAAATAAATCGCATGCCTTAGACCCACGGGGTGCCATACTTTTATAATGATCATTGTCCAACTTCCCTTAGAAATCTTACTTCATGAGACTCTATTTTAACAAGGATATCAATTATCCAAGACTCCTCCTATTTGGATTAAGATCAACTCTCTCAAGAGTTCAATGTGGTTTGACCAAATCTTGGCCCATCAGAATCACCCACGTGGCACTTCGACTAACCACGTAGGCCATGTGGACATCTCAAAATTATGTCCCCATAATTGTTCCTAAGTTCTGTTACCTCGGCAACCTGAGGTGATGAAATTTATGTCATCTGATCTTCTAACATGTCTGCTAAACAACATGCTAGAGATACTCCTCCGGCCGAGATCATGACCCGCTGGTGTCAAGAAACAAGGACTCAAATGTCCACTCATCAAGAACCAAGAACCAAGATTCAAGAATCAAGAGTCAAGATGATCCTTTTTGGCCTTCTTGTTCGATGTTGGCCATCTATTCCTACTAAATTTTCACAAACAACGCTAAATTGTGGGTATTGTTTTTTGACCTCACAAACAAACAAATTTCCTTGCCGAGATCTAAGAAACTTAGCTGGAGAGCACGTGGAAGAATAGATTAAGCTAGCACCTGCGCACAAAAAGACAAGAAATGCCGTAGTGACTCATCCACCTGGGGGACACTCTAACATCCAACAATCAAATCAGTAACTTATCTTCCAAGATATCAACTCAAATAAAGAGCTCACAAAATAAATTGCATACCTTAGATCCATGGGGTGCCATACTTTTATAATGATCAATGTCCAATTTCTTCTAAAAATCTTACTTTATCGGATTCTATCATTTACAATGATATCAATTATCCAAGACTCATCCTATTTAAATTAAGATCAACCCTCTCAAAAGTACAATCTTACCTAAATAGAAAATCTATCTTTATCTAGGACTCTAATCACTCATTCGAACATCTCGAATTCAGATGTGGTTTGCCTACATCTTGGCCAATCAGAATCACCCATGCGACACTTCGACTAACCATATAGGCCACATAGACAACTCAAAATTATGTACCCACAATCTTGATAATTAAAGTATCAAAGATTTGAGATTTAACAACATACACATACATGCATGTGTGTATATATATAATAGTAGTGTGTCCAAACATGACATATTTGTGATTATGCGTAACTTTTGGACGGTTGAGCGGTTGAATAAGGATTGAATTAGAAAATTATTTAACAGTTATCAATCTTAGAAGTATTTTAGATAAGGTAAAAAGTGGGGTAAAACTTCAAAGTTGTAAACTTTATATAATAGAATTGATTATAAACTGATGCCAAGTTTACACCTAGTAAGTGTGGTAAGATTCCTTAAGATTTTTTTTATTTTTTTATTTTTTTGGTGGAAGAAGTAGCAATGAATTTGGTGATGGTTTTGCATACTAATAATGTTAAGTATACCAAATTTTTTTTTAACACTATCATAATTAGAAATATATGAATTAAGTTCATTTTAAATATGACTCACATTTATACTATACATTTAAATTATTGGTATTTTTCTATGTAATTATTTTTTTTTTAAATTTTGGAGTAAATAATATTTTTGTTTGCATTGTCATTCTTGGGTGGTATAATTTGATGAGGATAAATTAGACCAATTTTGCATTTGATTTTTAAGAAGCATCATTATCACAATTAATATACCAACAATGCTAGAAGGCCACAATTTTTGTGGCCACAATGGTTTAAAACTGCCAAAACGATGTCGTTTTGACATATTTTACACCCAAAACGACGTCGTTTTGGCAATTTTGAGCCATTGTGGCCACAAAAATTGTGGCCCTCAAACATTTTCCTTAACAACAATGATTCATCCCCCCTTTTCCTCCCACCCCCTTTGACCCCCTCTCTCTCTCATTGGTTACATTTTCTTTTTCTTTTTCTTTTTTTTCCTGCTCCTCCAATCACCCCCCGCCACGTGGCAAAGGGGGGTGAGGGGGTGACCCTCAAAAGGGGGTCCCAAGCATTATTCTTTCCTTAATATACAGTAGTGATAGACGCCTCGAATTCGAGGCCTCAAATTTGGCTCGAATTTTTTTTTTTCTTTTTCTTTCGGCTGCTGTGTGTATTAATATATATATATATTTTTTTAAAATCTAATATAAGATATTATACATTCGCACCATCTCATCATATAAAATTATATGAAATTAACAAAATTTAATCAATAGCTTAACTGATCAGTCAATTTTATCACTTAATCAGTCCAGCTTAATTGACTGATCAGTCAGACTGTTGATTAAAATTCGTTAATTCTGTATAATTTTGCACGATGAGTTGGTACAGGATGTCAAGTTTTTTGGCACACCCTTACACATAACTACCTTTAAAAAAAATTAAGAAAAAAAAAAACGAACACAGCCTAACAAATAAAATAAATTAAATTAAAAAAAAATTTGATCAGTCAATTTTATTACCCAATCAGTCCAATCCAACTCACTTATAAAATGTTTAATTTTTTAGCACACCCCTATATATAATCACCCCTATAAAGAAAAGAGAGAAAAAAAAA